ATTCATTTTTGAATATCGGAATGACACATTTACGACGGCTCACGCAATTTTCGCGCTAATCGTTTTTTGATTCTCTGAAATTTATTTAAATTTCACCGTGCTATAATACAAACACGATATCCATCTGAAAATGCGTCATTCATGGCTGCAATAAATTACGGGACGCTATAATGAGTTAGCTGATGTAATTTATTGAATCAACGAAGCTGGTCGCTTCATTGGACCCTAACATGCAATGATGATGCGGTCTTCACAACTTGTTTTCAAGCTCGTAATTTATGGAAAGTATGAAGAATAGAATGGTGTGTGCCTACTTGAGTGAAATGTTGAAAAGAGTCTGAAAAACAATGGCTAACGCAGAATGCACAATCTCTGACTGTTCTAACAAGAAATGACATAAGGTAAACTACTACTGTCGGGTCGCTGATAGCTGCTTTATTCTCTCCGAGCAATCGGCTGCGATGTCTATTGAACATCATATGGTCCGGAGAACGAGAGATACCTAATCTCGGTATGCATTTAGCCATACCTCGAATTATCCTCAGTTCAATTTCTTTTCAATCAGAGAAAAGGATACGCTGTAACAGGCGACCATTAAGCATACACTACTCACCTGCGAAGGGGTTGAGCTACTTCGGGCCAAGTGAAGCAATAAAAGTGTTCTAGATGATTTCTCGCTCCAATAAAAGAACCCACTCGGTAGACATTATTGAATCGATCATTTTTCTCATTTATTTTAACAGAATATTCACTTTTTAAACTGAATTTCAAGAACGGGAAGTGAAATGCGTATAAAATGACAGGGAAACATATAGAGGTGATTGTGGGCAGTAACTGTGAGATGAGAACAAATAAACACAGTGCTGGGGCACTGGCACCAGATTAAACCGTATGATCATAAGGAACGGTCCATCGCGGTTTGACACGATTCGCGCTCACGCGCTAAACCACGCTCAATCACCCGTTTCCTAGTTGTCCCGTGTGGTCAAATGTGGCAATCGTGATGAATGCTACGGACTGGCTGCCTTTTCAAATCCGTTTCTCTTATTCCCACCTCGGCTGTGATTTGGTACACTATTCCATTTTTGGTGTGATGTGTTTGAATTCACATAGGAGAGAGAACGAGAACCAGAATTTTTGTGCTCTGGTTCGGAAATCACAGTCTAACTTAGACGACATCAATAAACATCATGTTGAAGTTGTAGAACACGTTGAAAATCTCAAATCTACTAGTGAGAATTGTGTACCGTGGTCATAATGCAGTCAGAACCCGATATCTCAATGCCGTTTTACCATCTGAGTCAATTTGGTAATCCCCAACGAGAGTAAAGATAGGGTTACAATTGAATGAATTATATAAGTTATTATTTCGGCAGAGAAAACGATAAATGAGGACACAAGATCACGTCCCCCCAAAAAAAATCCACTGGCGGAAGAAATAAGACAGTAGAAAATGCGTATAGGGTCAATTCCAGTTGACCGTGTAAAACAGCAATGTTTGCCGCATCAGGTGCCCAGGTGGTTTATTTGCTCTCGCTCAACCATTCATTTAGTCGGGCCAAGAAGTGTAAAATCGGAGAACAGCTGCAAACAAAAGCGATACAAACGTGTATAAATTAGGTGTGAGTAAAGTGGGAATCTATGCACGAGAACCAATTTTTGTCTTCCAGTTTACTTTGGTTAGGATTGCACCTAAATCTCCAGTCCGTAAGCCGAACCGGACGAGGTTATAATTCTACTAGCTTAGTCCCATTCTGATGGAATTCTGTCTGCTTCGGGAAACAATACACATGAAGGAAGGACATTCGCTAACATATCTGATACGCGCCTTGGATAATACAGTTGGTGATAATCAAGGAGTATCAAATACTTTAAAATGCCTCACGTAACTACCGTCTACAGTGAAATGTAGGAATTCGGGTTTGTTTTTCTACTGGTTGTGGCCTCTGTGGTGTTGAGAGTGTGTGTGTGTGTGTGTGTGTGAGGATTTCTGAGTTCACGCTGTTACAAAAGACCTTGTGCTTCTACCCAATTCATTTGTTGACTCGGTTTAAATGTGTTCCGTATCCGGTACCCTGGTACTCTCCGGTTTATTTTTTCCCCTGTGTATTCTCATCCAAATGGATGAGGATTGAAAACCGCCGCACAAATTTAATGGTTGCGTGATATGTGTCTTTTCAAACTATGATCGGCTACAGTTGAACGCTTTCCATATTATTTGCAGATGTGCTGTTAGGATCCCAGTTTTCCTGAACAAAGTCTCCGTGTATTTACCGATCAATTCGCCAGTAAAAAAAGGAAGTAGACCAAACATTTAGCTGAAAATTGAAGCAACGGAACTCTACGCTTCAAGCATCTTTTTCATTGTCCCTTTAAGGGATCAAAAGGGTGGATTAGCAATCGATTTTCACAGTTGTCAACTCAATAATCTACAGGTTTTTGGATTGCTTATCCTGATGATTTTATACGTAATGAAAATTTTCAACGCACAAATTATTGAGGTCTTTGATTCTAGAAGTAATTGTAATAATTGTTAGAACAGAGCGGATACATGTGATTCAATCCCTGCCTGAAACAAACAGGGTACTGAGATAAAAGAATTGGCATTGTTATGGTAATTTGCTGTCCGTGTCCATGGTTACGTTTTTTCTACGAAGTCAATCAAAATTCGCGGGTTCGAACATGTGGTGCGCTTATCAAACAATGTTCTTCCGTACCGCCCTGGATAGGTGATTTTCTTCACAGATGATTATCATGTGATGGCCAAACAAGTTGGCGGAGACGAATTACGAGGAAGTGTTCTGTAGTCTATGGAATATGGAGAATAGCAGCGAAAAGTGTCGACTGGAGGGACTTGTAACTATAGAAGTACATCAGACAGGGAAATTCTTTGGAAAAGTTAATTGCAAATCAAAGTAAAGCTTTGGTACTTAACTGCTTGTCTAAATATAGTCAATCGGGCTGTTTAGCTTATCCTCTTTGCTGTTAGTGAGTTTGAGGTCGGACATTTTCCCAGTCGGTGGGCTGCTAACCTGTCTATCAAGTTACTTTATGCAGAGGTTTGTTTTACTAGGATAGGAGTAATAGCATTACTGTCCCTATACACACTTATACTATACGCAGGTATCAACACGGTTTCAAAAATAAAGATGTTTATGCAAAGTTTGTGTTGGCATAGTAATTGCAGTAGTAGCATGCAATGAACACGAAACACAAATCACTGATTAGCAGTCACGGATGTCACGTAAGCACACCGGCACTTGCACGCAATATCCCACCTAACCGAGACGCGAGGAAAAAAGGCCACAGGAGTAGTAGTACATTTATTGAAAGAAATCAGAAGGTTTAAATAATATGTACAAAACAATCTCCTTGGTCATCCGGACCTCTGCCAATCGCGTTCTAGTATTTCTGCCGTTGTTCAGCTTCTTTCTGGGCCGCACAGGCTCGCATTTGAGGTACAATCGACCTATGGTCTGTAGTCCAGAAGCTGTGGCACATACGCACTTTTTTGACGTCACTCGTGAAGCTTGATTGATCACCGTTGTCCCAAAACTGTATTCTGTCGCTCCAGGGTATGCGTCATCTCGCAAGCTGGGATCACCGCAGTTCGTCTGTTTCAGTAGGTTAGTGTTGTGGCCGGATACACGACTAGCCTCTGGGGTTATGACTCGGTAGGGAACATTCATAAACTGACTACTTTATTGGATCTCTCAGATGATACCTCATCAATAAATCTCTAAGTCAAACTAATTTTATCAAAAACAAGAGTAAGCTACAGCACAGTGCGTTTGCATTCTGCCTGATAAATGAGGTAAACGATTGAGTAGCGCATTCACATTTTGTTATATGCAATTACATCAGTTCACGCTGAACAATGTCGAAGGATGACTTTTTCATTTTTAATCTTGATAATTCATGCACTCAGTTAAAGAACTGACCGTGAGAGAACCATTTGATATGTCACTACAAACAAACGGAAGTTACTCAAACAGTAACAGAAGTTGTAAAGAACCGTCTGGATAATACGTACGGATGAGAGTGAGGCTAGTGCTTAGATGAGCGAGGTCCTTTGCTCACAAAGATGGGTTGTGCTATATCGTGTCTATCTATACCAATACGCATATTCCGATGTCTGCGAATTTGCATAGACTGGACACGATCATTTTCAGTTTGATTAGAAACATACAATGCAGGATCCAGTTAGAAATGCTTTTTTTCTCCGTAACCGGATCTCTGACTGAAGAGTTACGCAATTGAGGTTGATATGATCGGTAAGCTTATTCCATTGGTAATCAGTGATTTAGTCACTTTGGTCAGGACAGTATGCAATCATTTCGTATACTCAATTCAACATTTGTGCTGTGCCCATTTATACTTTGCTTAATTTCATTCCACTGAGGACTAGGTGGACTGAACTATTGATCCGATTGCTGGGAATGGATTTGAAGATCACAATCAACTTGGACCGATAGGGTTACCGTCACTCTACAGACGACTGAAGACGGGACAGCCCCCTGAAGCAGTTTATACGCTGAGTGCACTGTGATCCTTTTTGCAGCCGCCTTTGCGGATTTCTACATAGAATACGTGATTAAAAATTATGTGAGTGGCCCTGAGGAATTTCAGTTGCTTGTTTAATTTACACCGCATCCTACAGGGATGCAAACAGATACCACGATACTACGAAACATCTTGAACGAAGGACTGGCAAACACGAGTCGTTTAATTGGATTTCGTAGTAGAGTCAAGCCACTCTATTCAGAGTTTCACTCGCCACATGAAGTACTTTAGGAATGACAAAGTAAAAAAGCCATAGTTTGCGTTTTTAACTACCTACACTGAACTGTCTTTTCATTAGTGTGAATCAATTGGCAAATTATTTACCTTTCAGTTCTCAATCCGAACGTCCATCCGAGACTGACAAACAGCCTGTTGTGAGCGAGAAGCGAAAATCGTCCCTGACGGAATCACCAACCATCATTCACACACTGACAACCATGCAGTCTGTATCACCGAACCACAGGAAAGAGATCGCCCGTGAACAATCACACTCGTTGCCTGCCTCACCGGAGCACAAACCGGGACGACGGCATTCCGAATGTTCATCAGACAGTATTTCTGGCTCATATGAGTCGGATTTTTCCAACCCAGACACAAATGTCCCGGCAGAAGAGAATCCTGACACACGATCTGATCAATCGACAGTGGTCGAGGAATTGGATAGACCGGAACCAAATCGATCCACTCCCATATCGGTGAACGAGGATGATGATGAAGACGACCACGACGACGAGGAGGAGAGTGATATGACCGATGTGTCTCACGAATTCCCCGGGCAGCATGCAAACAACACACCAGTGGATGTAGCTCTGGCTAGAAATTCCCATTTGATACCGGATTATCAAGACACGACTGAAATGAGACAATTCCATGCTCGTCAATTGACCAAGGCAATGACTCGGATCAACAAGAAATTACAAACCATGCGGATACGTCCACCATGGCGAGATCCGAACTCACATCCATTACCCAGTGATCGAACTGCCTCATTTTATGATCTCTATGAAGAGTTTACACGAAACGCGAAAGATCGACCTCCGACAGAACATGTGCGATGGTNGCGATGGTTATCGCAAAGTGAAATCGCTGTCTGTAGACCATATCATGCCACGTTGAATCGATATCGTCAACAAGAACGAATACAGCTGGAGAATTACGTAAGTTCTGGAAAAAACAAACTGGTTTTATTATTGTGCTAGAGCGTTCAATTTCACATCCTAGAAGTTTACGCGTACCCCGAATATGGAATGCATTTTTATTTCGAAATACACAGTACGAAGTGCCTGTNTTTACGAATCCAGTCCCCGTAAGGGATATGCAAAACGCCCGCACAGCTGATGAGTTTCAACAAGGTCGAAGTAGCCGTCTGAAGTCTTAAACCACTTACCAAACGACACGAAAACCGAAGCTATTGGATCAGATCTTGCAGGTCGCGTTATAGGTTTAGATTAGAGACCTCGGGACCGTTTTCGGAGATGACGAGAGAAACTGAGTGATATATATGTAGATGAGTGATGTGAAGAATGAAGTTTGTTTTTGCTCACTTTCCGCACACACACATTCAATTTCTTTCTCAGTTCTTCGTTCTATTTTACTCCTGTCTTCATCGGTACATGCATGCAACGTGTAGCCAAAAGACCGTAATCAAAACTAGCGCATGGAGCTGTAAGGTTAATCGCTATGCACTGTGAAACCTACATGGAAAACAAAACAAGTAGTTCAATCGAAAAATCTAGGCAACTTTGCTTAGCATCCCAATTCACCTAGATCCGAATGTCAACCCAGACATTTATTAATCACGGTTGTCTCATAGTTTGAGATCACCATCAATATCGAGGATTAACCAGTCATACCCAGTAAAAAATCAAAATACTGGACGTATGTTTGTAACAGTGCACGCCTAAGAGTTCGAACCACGGCCCTGGTGACCAACGCTGATCATGCAGCACTCAGAGCTGACGCTTGCTGGATTTTGTGGCACAAGCCAGTGTTAGAATGGCGTATTCTACGATAACAGTATCCGCGTTAGATCAATTAGGCATGTTTGGCTTCTGACAAACGATGCTAAAATGTGGATTGTTTACAAACAGTAGGCATAGTTATCTTGCTAAAGCATTTCGATGAAATTTGCTGCTCGCACTGTTTATTGTTTGATCTGTCGAAGATTACTTTCAAACAACAACGGAGGCGTGTGGATAGCATGTTGCTTTTTTATTTGGAGACTACTTCGTGAGATGCGGACGATGGCACAAAAAAATTCCCATGACAAATAATAAAGTAACATTCGGTACCTTCCAACTAACGAGCATAACCACTTGAAGCACACTGTGACCGAAGTGTTTCTTGATTGGCATCACATACAAAGTAGCAGTAGATACAAAACTACAGATAAATTTCAAAGAGACTGGACTGCAAACCTTAAAGTACTGTCTGGAGACAAAAGAATGTGGAAATTCGGTTGATGATTAGGGAAACTGACCTTCAAGCATGGCTCACTGCGGTGTTTTAGTTTAGGACAACTTTCTTCATTTTCGTGACTCTATTTTCGGCCGTGTATACGTTATTTCTTACCTCATCACTTTTAATGGCAGTGAGAGGATAAGCCGGCTACATCGAGATCCCGAAGTTTCATGAGGGCGATGTGTGTGATCCATGAAAAGTTCCTCGATGCATTCCGGCTTTTCTTCGGGGTGCAGACGGCATAATTGAGTGTGGATTCAAGCGGAAAGATGTGTTGGCGAGTGGTTGCAAGCAGCTCCCAAGGAGTTCATTTATCCCTTAATAAATATGAATACAATCCAGGGATCTGTGTCTCTCAATTGGACAAAATTCCTGTTATATAACGGTAGATCTTTTTCCTCCAATCCTGATGAGCTATCTTTGTAAACGGCACGCCGTATTATCAGGGTCAACACGTCGCGGTCGGCCACGGTTTAGTCTAACCGGCATTGAATGCGGATACATGCCGCAGTAATACTTACCCGAGGGGTAGGTGAAAGGCGCAACTAAGACTGTCGCACGATAGTTCAAGATTTTCAGTTGTGTAAACTGAAATAGTGTCCTGGAGATAGTTTAGAGTTGAGAGTCGGGTAGGGTTCATTGAGATGAAACGTGTTTTAGAGGACTCGACGATTCACTAGCTCAAAGGTGCTGAGATAGAACAATCAAAACTACCAGGTGTATTATGGTAAAATTATCAACAAACGTTCATCTCAGAGGACACCCGTTAAAACTAACCATCTCAAAATGCCGCCGTCAGAGTGTGTTCGGTCTGGAACTCTCTCCCACCCTAAGTAGCCTGTGCGCCGAACGCTGAGACTTGATGCGGCATTAGTACGAATTAAATTCCATCAGTGAAGCTGCATTCAGCGGTGGAAGAAGCCCGTATCACGTGACATTTGTACATGTCACTCTCTTTTAACAACAACACAAACCTACGGGACGAGCAAAACATGAGTTTGTAAGTAATTCCCATAATAAAACTGATACTATTGTCTAAACAGTCCCACAGAGCACATTTCAAATAGAACAAGGAGTGGCGAACAAGCTCGTTTTCAGTGATTCGTAGTCACGCCAAATACATCACAATAAATATTACGCTGGTTATATATAAATCAGTATTCAACCATAAAAAACGCAAACAAATGTTTCGGGAAAGGGAAAATAACCTCATGGGTTATCCGGGGCTATTGTCATGTTTTTCTAAGATAAAACCCCGAAGAATGGTATTTGCATATATTACAGCTACATATCATTTTTTCATTTTCAGGCCCTAGCAAAGCGACTACAAAATGTGCGACCATCTCCCGGAATGACAAGACAAGAACAATTGCGCGAATACAAACGATACTTTATTCCCTCCACTTGTTTTATATCCCGTCCGCAAACTTCCACACGTCGTCCGGGCACAGCGGCCGCGTCGTATCGAGTCGACCATNCCATGCCGGGGATCATGACAGCAAGTCCATGAACACAGAACGTTCTGGTCGACCCGGTTGGTCTTCCAAGCCTCACGCGACACGAAACGCTCGCTCGGCAGGCTCTCGAAGTATGGCCAGTACAAGTGATGCTGCCTCGTTCTATGAGGCACATTCATCGAGCAAGAGTTTCCGCAGCGTGAGCAAGGAACGATCAAAGAATACCCGAGATCGACTGATCGGTACCGCCGCATCAGACGTGCGCGGTACCGTTTGGTCCAACACGGGACGATCACAAACGCACAATCGCCAAGGTCCTGGGATGAAGACAGCGGAAAATCGATCTGCGCATACGTCCGCATCACACAGTCGTCGCGTCGGTGGAAGTTCGACTAGAAATGTGGAAGAGACGGTTGTTGTTCCAACACCACCACCACCTTCTCCTAGAGGGACAGATAATGACCACAGTCATTCAGGTCATGCGTCCAACTGATGTCGTCAAAATTCAGGGATCAACCTGACCACTGGGGAACAAACACGCCAATCGCATGCGTGGTGCTTTCGGACACGCACAATTTTCTGCACACATTCCCACACCACCTGATCCAATTAATTGGTTGGCAAGCTGGTTCGAAGCCGGTAGCCCCTTTCAAGTGCTTTTTTGTTATCAGTACAAAGAAAAAAGACAACACACGTCACACGCACAGACTCGGAACTTTCTGATCCCACGTCAACTGATTCGTTCCTTTATTTGACCACATCAAGAAACCGGCCCTCACACCCTCTCTCTCTCTGTGTTCTTACCACTTTCACGCCATCCCCGACTTCTGTCTGTCTGTGTGTGTGCAGACTCAACAAACACGTGCTTCATTTTGCTTCCGTCTCAGTCACACTGGCTAACGATGCGCTCCATTTCTACAATATCGAACGTACGAGCCCTATTGATAATACGTTCACACCTTGTTGTTGTGGTGGCATATTAATCCGGTCCAATACCAAATGATTTGGGGGAAGCAACGACAACAGTGAATGAATGAACGAATGGGGTGGACAAATTTTGATTCGCGAGGAAACACAAATACGAATTACGTGAACGAGGAGAATACAGACTGGACATGAAGCTTCTCTCGTTTCTTTGGGCAAATGCACACACACACACACACACATTCAGACCGGTGCGTAGCTAAATGGCTAAGATTAATCCAACTTCACTCCACTTCCCATCATTATCATCATCATCTGAGCACACAAACACACACACACCTCCCGTTCCTCCTGTATTCCATCTGTCCATCACACACACACACACCTGACCATGCACCTCGCCTCCTTGAGTAATTGTGCCCTGACATGAGTTGGAGTTCTTCACATATTCATTTCTCGAACTCGTACACACACATCCGCACGCAGACTGGTCGGATCGAACACATTTCGTTGGGCAACACACACACAAACCCATTCAGCGTGCCAGAAGACAGATAGACAAGTGCATGGAAAAAGAAATTATATTGCGTGGATTCAGCGACAATATAGAGGGTGTTTGAAAACAAATGCGATGTGACTAGAGATGAGAACAGTGCTAAAAGAGAACGAAAGTTAGTTAGATCTATATATAGAGGGAATACACGATCGTGAGGGAATTCAGGGTTGAGCGGTGCGTGGGAAGAGACACTGCAGAAATGAACTCCTACAACTAGTTCGAGGCAGAAGTCGTGTATCTGAATTAGGGAGAGGAGCAATTAAATCAGTGATTTGATCATAATATGGTCAGAAAGAGTCAACTCAGATCAGCTGTGTACTGAATGTGGAGAAATAGAATTCAGCACAGATCCGTCGTGATTCGCCACCAGTTTTCGACTAAAATCCAAATTGAAAACAAGGACTGACCTGGATGGGTCACGATCAACTGATCACATATATGAGGTCAAGAGAAAACTACTGGCCTCCAGTCAGTCAGTCAGTCGGTGTTTGTGATAAATCGTACTCCGGATCAAACAATCTCAGTTGGCGTATTGACAACTGATTTGACGCATTCAGCTACAAGTCTTTGTCTCTAGACCAAGCTGCATATTTGTGATTCAATTCGCACTGAAACAGTTAAGGTTAATGGTGAAAAATTCGACTTACTTTTTCACGGTTAAAGAAGGCAATGCACGAAAACCGGCTGGAAAGAAAAGGGATTACGAGCAAATAACAAATTGCTTTCCGATAAACGATATATATATATATATATGTATAGTTAAACAGTGACATATGCGAATGACAAAAAATTGAGGAAAAAGTGCCAAATATAAAAGATGATGATTGTATTGCAGTGTGATGATTTGTGCAAGCAACTATGCCTACAGTTCAGTCAAAAATATGTTCACTGTTACAAGGAGATGAAAAAAATGAAAAATCACATACATCGAGGCCAAATATTATACCAAAGATCATCTGTGTGAATTGAAAATTAGATCGCCTAGGATTTGTTTCGGATCAGTGGGAAGCGCAACGACCAGATTTAGGGGAATCCTCTAAAGATTTACAAATAACATATATCAGTGAAGAGACAGCGTCCACAGTGCACCTATTTGGCTAATGGGCAAAATGATTGGACTTCATCGGGAAAACCAGGCCACAAACGGGTGAGAATAACGCGCTCTACTAGTTTAAGTCTAGAGGAATTAATGGCGATGGTAATATATATATATATATATTTCAAAGGGGAAATTGGTCGTCTATATAGCATATATATGTATATATATTTCACACCAATCTTTACAAATACGGTGCCAAAATAACCACGGCTTAACGAAAAATATAGGAACAAAGGCGGAAAAAGAAACGGTCAACATGGAGAATAATAAAAAAATGTTTGTTTACCGCACGCCATTTTGAGTTTTGTTTTCCTTTTTTTGTTTATTTTCGGGATCAAAGTCAAAGTTTTATAATGGGAATAGCTTACAAGCTGGTGCTTCTCTTGTCCCATAAGATGTTTACACAGATGAATCGTTACACATCGAAAAAGGAGTCGCATAGAGATC